GTACATTGTTTGTTTAGTTCTGTACACAGTAGTTTACTTAGCTACTAGAGGCGAAATGTAGATACAATACTGTGCCAATGTACAGAGTGTGTTTGGGTCTGTCGCTAAAAAGTTCTATTTTTCAGAGTCTAAGACGTAGAGTGTTGGGGTGTGTGGCCACATGTCTGGCCACACACTTTACATTTAGTTTCGTTCACATCTGCCTGAGGGGGATACTGCCAGAGGTACTTATATCCTAACCCAAGTCTAGCAGGTGAGAGGTAGAGAAGGGGGGAGACAGGGGTACCTCAGTGGGTTCTAAATTGATTTTTAGTGATAAGGTAGATTTAAGGTGGGAGGGGTTGGGGAGAGGAGTTAGGGAGTAAGGGAGGGAGAAGGAGAGGAGAGAGGAGGCAGAAGAGGAGATGGAAGGGAATGGGGGAAAACCTAACCTAACCTAACAACCAGTTTGACTCTTTAGTAGAGTTCTTCGTCGCCTTCTTCTTTTCCTTTCTTTCTCCTTTTCCTTTTCCTCCTCTCTTCTTCTTCCTCTTCTTCCTCTTTCCTCCTCCCTCTCTTTCCTCTCTTTTCCTACTCCTCTTCTTCTTCTCCTCTTCCTGGCAACTCTCCTCCATCCCTAGAGTTGATGTACACACACACACACACACACACACACACACACACACACACACACACACACACACACACACACACACACACACACACACCTTGAGCACCTGTTTAATATTTTATCCAACAGGTATAGACTGCCTCCTCTTCCCTGTGCCTCCCTCTCTCCTACCTCCTTCCTCCCTCTCTCACTCTCTTCCGCCCCTCCTTCCCTTTCTTTCTCTCCCCGTCCTTCTTTTCTTCCTCCCTCTCACCGTCCTTCCTCCCTTCTTCTTCGCTCTCTTCCTCCCTTCGTTTCCCTTTCCCCCTCCTTCCCCTTCCCTACCAACCCCTCCCTTACATCATGGACGAGAAACCTCCCCCACTACAAGTCTCCTTCCATCCACCCCCCTCCCTCCTCTTCCCTACCATCCCACCCCCTCTCTCCACCATCACGGTTATTGAGATAGGATCCTCCCTCTCATCCCCTCCTCCCCACCCCTCTCCTTCTTCTCCCTCCTCCCTCTCCCCCCTATGCCTCCAGGTCGCCGCAACAAGATGTAGTTTAAACTTTTACAGTACAAATGACCCCCAGAAGTACATTCTCAAAAACCAACTGTCCCACAAAGCGGGCGAGGCAACCATCAGCACCGCGCCCCCAGGGACCCGCACGCGGCCATTCCTGGAGGAGGTGCGGGCGGGGAAGTGGCGTGAACGACCTCTAGCACCGCCCGCCGCCCATAACACACCTCCTCCACACCACATTCAAGCCAGGACGACCACCACCACTACGACCACACCCGACTCCTCACCTCACCTCACCTCACCTCCTTCTGATGAAAGTCAGGTTCTCTCTCTCTCTCTCTGAGATTCTTCTACACTGTGTGGCGTATATAGACTATGATGTACTATAGGGCATATTCCTTCAATACCCTGTCACGCCCTGTACCTATAACTACTGTAACACCCTGCCACGCCCCTGTACCTATAACTACTGTAACACTGTACTGTAACACCCTGCCACCCTATAACTACTGTAACACCCTGCCACGCCCCTGTACCTATAACTACTGTACCCTGCCACGCCCTGTACCTAAAACTGCACCCTGCCACGCCCCTGTACCTATAACTACTGTAACACCCCACGCCCCTGACCTATAACTACCACCCCCACCCCTGTACCTACTGCTGCCCTGCCACGCTGCTACTGTAACACCCTGCCACGCCCCTGTACCTATAACTACGCTGCCACTGTAACACCCTGCCACGCCCCTGTACCTATAACTACTGTAACACCCTGCCACGTCCCTGTACCTATAACTACTGTAACACCCTGCCACGCCCCTACCACTGTAACACTGCCACTGCTGCCCTGCCACGCCCTCTATAACTACTGTAACACCCTGCACCCCTGTACCTATAACTACTGTAACACCCTGCCACGCCCCTGTACCCATAACTACTGTAACACCACGCCTGTACCTATAACTACTGTAACACCCTGCCACGCCCTGTACCTATAACTACTGTAACACCCTGCCACGCCCTGTACCCCTACTGTAACACCCCTGCCACGCCCCTGTAACTACACACCCTGCCAACCGCTACTACCCTATAACTACTGTAACACCCTGCCACGCCCTGCCACTGTACCTATAACACCCTGCTGTAACACCCTGCCACGCCCTACTATAACTACTGTAACACCCTGTACCTATAATACACCCTGCCACGCCCTGTACCTATAACTACTGTAACACCCCTGCCACGTCCCTGTACCTATAACTGTAACCCTGCCACGCCCCTGTACCTATAACTACTGTAACACCCTGCCACGCCCCTGGACCTAACTACTGTAACACCCTGCCACGCCCCTGTACCTATAACTACTGTAACACCCTGCCACGCCCCTGTACCTATAACTACTGTAACACCCTGCCACGCCCCTGACCTATAACTACTGTAACACCCTGCACGCCCTGTACCTATAACTACTGTAACACCCTGCCACGCCCCTGTACCTATAACTACTGTAACACCCTGCCACGCCCCTGTACCTATAACTACTGTAACACCCTGTCACGTCCCTGTACCTATAACTACTGTAACACCCCTGCCACGCCCCTGCTACTGTAACACCCTGCCACGCCCCTGTACCTATAACTACTCTGTAACACCCTGCCACGCCCCTGACCTATAACTACTGTAACACCCTGCCACGCCCTGTACCTATAACTACTGTAACACCCTGCCACCCTGTACCTATAACTACTGTAACACCCTGCCACGCCCCTGACCATAACTACTGCCAACACCCTGCCACCCTGACCTATAACTACTGTAACACCCTGCCACGCCCCTGCCTATAACTACTGTAACACCCTGCCACGCCCCTGTACCTATAACTACTAACACCCTGCCACGCCCCTGTACCTATAACTACTGTAACACCCTGCCGCCCCTGTACCTATAACTACTGTAACACCTATAACTACTGTAACACCCTGCCACGCCCCTGACCTATAACTACTGTAACACCCTCCTATAACTACCCTGTATAACTACTGTAACACACGTCCCTGTACCTATAACTACTGTAACACCCTGCCACCTATAACTACTGTAACACCCTGCCACGCCCTGTAACTACTGTAACACCCCTGCCACGCCCCTGTACCTATAACTACTGTAACACCCTGCCACGCCCCTGTACCTATAACCTGTAACACACCTGTACCTATAACTACTGTAACACCCTGCCACGCCCCTGGCTGCCCTGCCACCCTGTACCTATAACTACTGTAACACCCTGCCACGCCCCTGACTACACACCCTACTGTAACACCTGCCACTGTAACTACTGTAACACCTGCCACGCCCCTGTACCCCTACTGTACTGTAACACCCTGCCACGCCCCTGTACCTATAACTACTGTAACACCCTGCCACGCCCCTGTACCTATAACTACTGTAACACCCTGCCACCCTGCCTACTGTAACACCCCACGCCCTACCTATAACTACTGTAACACCCTGCACTGCACACTGCCTGCTGTAACACCCTGCCACCTGTAACTACTGTAACACCCTGCCACGCCTGTACCTATAACTACACACACGCCCCTGGCTACTGTAACACCCTGCCACGCCCTGTACCTATAACTACTGTAACACCCTGCCACGCCCCTGTACCTATAACTACTGTAACACCCTGCCACGCCCCTGTACCCATAACTACTGTAACACCCTGCCACGCCCCTGTACCTATAACTACTGTAACACCCTGCCACGCCCTGTACCTATAACTACTGTACCCTGCCACCCTGTACCTATAACTACTGTAACACCCTGCCACGCCCCTGTACCTATAACTACTGTAACACCCCCCTGTACCTATAACTACTGTACCCTGCCACGCCCTGTACCTATAACTACTGTAACACCTGCCACGCCCCTGTACCTATAACTACTGTAACACCCTGCCACGCCCCCCTGTAACACCCTGTACCTATAACTACTGTAACACCCTGCCAACCACTACTGTAACACTGCACTGTAACTACACCCTGTACAGACCTGTAATGCCCCCTGGGTAACACCCTGCCATGACCTATAACTACTTGCTGTACCTATAACTACTGTTCCACTGTACCAGCTGTCTGCAGTGTTGTGTAACACCCTGTCACGTCTCTAAGACAGGTAATGCCAAGACTCCTTCCAGTGGGCTTACTTCTGAGTCTGCCCAGTGTTGTCCAGTCGTCTCCTCAAGTATACAGACTTCCTTTGGCTGGGTAGTGCTGTGTCTTACCCCTGTGTTTGTTTGTTTGTTTGTTTGTTCGTTTTGTTTGTGTGTTTGTTTGTTTCAGTATTGCCCAGTTCCGTTTCTGGGTGTTGCGTTTACTGATGCAATTTATATATTTTAAAGAACTAATATGATTTATTTTTTGTATGACGATATACAGTATATATATATATATATATATATATATATATATATATATATATATATATATATATATATATATATATATATATCGTATTTGAGAATGTGTATAAGTTAGTTAACAAACAACTATATACATTGATAAGTAAGTGATTGTTAATTTCTCGTGAAAAAAATGTATATAGTGTGGTAGTGAATAATAAATGAGAGCAATTAACCGATAAGAAAAATAATTGTTGAGTAAATAAATAAGTCAATAAATTAGGTAAATGAATAATTTATAATAGATTCGTCTAAATATAAATTAATGATTAAGAAATTATGTAGGATATAGATAAATGGATTAAATAATAAGCAATGACATTATACAGATTATTTCGACCAGTTCTCGTCATCATTGATTAATAGTAACAATGTTGAGTGTCCCAGTGCTGTCTCTCATCAGTTGACTGAGGTGTTTATCTTTCAGGTCTGGACTCGTCTGATTCCATGAGTAAAACGTACGACGGCCAGAACCTCAGCTTGGGCAAGAAAAAGAAGAAGAAGCGAAGGCACAGGTCAGTATACCGTTAATTAAGACGAGGGAGAGGAAGATAATGGGGAGAGAAATGTTGTATAAGACAAAAGAAAATATCGTATATATCCGTTACCTCTATGATCTTATTTCTCGTTAATTTTTCGGGGGGTATTTTTGTTTGTGTTTATATTAATACGTACTTATATTATAAATTCAGTCACGAATAAAATAAATATTGAGGGAGAATTAAACTGTAAATGAAGAGCGATATTTCGTCTGTTTACAATCAGGTCGGCGACTACGTGACTAAATTATTTAAGAGAGCTTACGAAACCAGCAAACCAAATCTAACTTAATTTACTCAATCTAATCAAACGATCTTAGGTTAATTTTTGTTTGGTTAGATTAATCTGTTTTTAACCTATGTTGGGATAAGTACGGTTTTGTAGTCTCTAACATGATTGAACAAAATTATCCTGTTGTCGTTTCTGTGTAGATTGTTTTTTCAAATTCTTTTTTCTCATAAGTTTACTCTTGTTTATTTGTTTGTCTTGAGCCATACAAGACAAAAAAATCCCTCACACGCGTAAAACATCCGTGAGTTAGGTCAGGAGAAGCGGCCGTTCTTGACGTTAGAAAGTTATTACTAAGATTTGGTTTTTTTTAGTAGTATTTAACGATGTCAACACGGCCAAGAATATAAATATGATGATGATGATGAAGAAGAAGAAGGAAATAGAGAGTAAACGAAGATTTGAGAGAAGGGAGAGGTGAAGAAGGGTGAGATAATGAGCGTCACAATAATGGAAGAAGGGAGAAGAGGAATAAGCAGAGAAAGAGAGAGAAAGCGTAGAATGTGAGAGAAGGAATAATTCGGAGAGACGAGAAAGAACGGTTGAGGGTAGAAACTGAGAGAGAGATAGAGAGAGGGAGAGAGAAGGAAGTATTTTGCTAAGGGAGAGAAGGAGATGCGTAGGTAAAGAAAGAGAGAGAAAGACAGGTAAGAAGGGAGAGGAGGTAAATATACTAACAAAGGGAGAAATAAATAAAAGGGTGATAACGAGATGAAGGGAGGCAGAGAGAGAGAAAGACAACAAAGAAGGGTGAGAAAGAGAAGTAAAAAGGGAGAGAAATAAATAAAAGGGTGATAACGAGATGAAGGGAGGCAGAGAGAGAGAGAAAGACAACAAAGAAGGGTGAGAAAGAGAAGTAAAAAGGGAGAGAAAGAGATAAAACTATGAAGGAAACGAAGGAGAAACAATTAAGAAAGGAGAGAGAGAGATAATTATTTCTCGTTACTGAAGATGTGAGAAAGTCCCTAATTGGTTGTCTTAAGATAAAAAACAGTAATAAAGTGTAAACATGGCGTCAGAATCACTCAGAGACTCGAGGTACATTTACTTAACATCTAGTGACGCTTAGTTACGAGGAAAGGGGGGGAAGGAGAAATGGGAGGAAGAATGGTGGGGAGGGGAAGGAGGAGGAGGGAAAGGAGGAAGTGAGGAAGGAAAAGGAGGAGGGAAACAACGGAGGAAAAGGAAGAGAACAAGAAAGGGAAAAGGGTAGAAGAAAGGAAAAGGAGGAAATTAGGGAGGGAAAGAAAGAGGAGAAGAGATGGGATATTGCAATAGAATATGTCGCCCATTAGCCTAAGGGGAGGGGATTGGGAGTCGTAAAGTAGTAGGGTGGTAACGATGAAAGGTGGGGGGGAAGGGGAGAGAGAAGGTAGTGACGTGGTTCTTGGTGACGAGATCCTGGGGTGACAAGACGACAATGCCAGCCCCGTGTCGCCCCGTGCCCCAGGTTTGCCCCGGGGCCTTGCACACTCCCACACCAGTTGCAAGTTGCAGATGTCGCTTGGGTCGTATTGCTAGCCCGTCTGTGTGTGTGTGTGTGTGTGTGTGTGTGTGTGTGTGTGTGTGTTTGTCTGGTGTGGTGGTGGTTGCCGTTGTTGCTCAAGGGGGGAGGGGGGAGATGGGACCCCTATTGCTCATATAAGCATCCAACCTATGTTTGAAGCTATCCAGCGTGTTCGAATCAATGATGATGTTTGGTAACTTGTTCCACTCATCCACTACTCTGTTTCCAAACCAGTGTTTACCTATTTCGCGCCTAAATCTAAATTTGTCTCATTTAAAACCATTGTTACGAGTTCGCTCCTGGTTGGATAGTTTGAGTACCTTTGTAATGTCCCCTTTGTTTAGCCCTGACTTCCATTTATACACCTCTATCATGTCGCCCCTCGCTCTACGTCTCTCAAGGGAGTGCAAATTAAGATGCTTTAACCTGTCTCTATACTCAAGGTTCCTAATGCCCGGGATTAGTCTTGTCATTTTCCTCTGGATTCTTTCCAAGGATTCTATATCCATTCTGTAATACGGTGACCAGAACTGAACTGCGTAATCCAGGTGAGGTCTCACAAGCGCAAGATATAATCTTAAGATGACCTCGCTAGTCTTGCAACTAACACTCCTTTGTATGAACCCAAGTACTTTATTAGCCTTGTTACGAGCAAAAACACATTGTTTACTTGGCTTAAGATTCCTACTTATCATTACTCCTAAATCTCTCTCGCAATCGGATTTCACAATGACATCGTTGTTCATCTGGTAACTGGTTTCCCTGTTTACATCTCCTAAACTGAGTTCTTTACATTTGTCCACATTGAATTTCATCTGCCATTTTTCAGACCATTCGAAAACTTTGTTTAGATCTTCCTGTAGTTTTGCGGAGTCCTCGTCAGATTTAATTACACGTCTTATTTTAGTGTCATCAGCAAATTTACTTATGTTGCTGTCTATGCCGATATCTATGTCGTTTATGTATATAATAAATAGTAATGGTCCAAGTACTGAGCCTTGGGGAACTCCACTAGTGACGTTGCTCCAATAGGATTTAGTGCCGTTAATTCTCACTCGCTGTTTCCTGTCCTGTAACCACGCCCTAATCCATTTTAGAATATTACCTCTAATGCCATGTGCTTCTACCTTTCTTATTAGTCTTTCGTGGGTGAGTGAAGAAAGAGGGTAATAAGAAGAAGAAATAGGGGGATGGAGGAGAGGAAGAGAGAGATATAAAGAGAAGATGAGGGACGAAGAAAGGGAGAGGAGTAGGAAGGGCGAAATAGAGGAGGAAGGAATTAAGGAAGGAAAAGGGGAAAGAGGAAGACGGAAGAAAGGGAAAGAACGAGAAGAAAGGAAGAAAGAAAGGGAAAGAGAAGGAAGAAAGAAGAATAAATAAGGAAGGAGAACCTAACCTCATGGGAAATGTTATCTTGATGGGGAGGAAAGAGGGATAACCAGGGGAGAGGGAGAGAAAGAGAGAGGGAGGGAGAGGAAGAGAGGTAGCCCCCCCCACCCCTTCCCCCAAAACGAGGTGTGGGATAGTGTTTAAGAGGCGCTTGGGAATTTGGATGCGATTTAAAGTACACCTTTTTGGCCCCGTGATCGTGTAATTATGAGACCTCAGGTGCTTTCCCCCCTCACCACCTCACCCCCGCCCCTCACCTCCCCCTCCCCTCACCTCCCCCTCCCCACACAGTGTTATGGCAGCATTAGTGTTTGTTATGTGTGTATGTTTGTATGTCTGTGTATTAGTGTCTGTATAAGGTGTGTGTGTGTGTGTGTGTGCCGTGTGTGTGTGTGTGTGTGTGTGTGTGTGTGTGTGTGTGTGTGTGTCAAAAAAATAAATATTAGAAGAAATTAATATATAAACAAGATTAACAAACATCTAAAGGAGTATTAATATGTTTTAACAATTTATTTTAACAACAAATTCGTTTTTTCACCATTGTTTTGAGTTGATGGTGTCCTCTAGCGGCCGTTTAAGGAACTGACTGGGAGGTTAATTTCCAATACTTAACGCCTTATCATGATCTACAGTCCTTTTATCCCTCTACTTAGCCTTCCTTCACCCTTATGGATAGAGGAAATAAGGCTTTAAATCCACGTGAATCAGCGCGGTGTGTCACAGGTAAAGGAAGTCGATCAGCTGACTTGACAAATCAGCTGATATATTGTAAACAAACGATACATAGTCAAGTGAGAGGAAAAGGGACATATGTTACCAAATTATCCCTCCTCCTCCTCCTCCTCCTCCTCCTCCTCCCCCCCCCCCTTATTCTGGTGTTAATTACTTGACAGCTGCTATAATTATGATGGGGGGAGGGGGGTGAGGTAGCTGGGGGGGGATTATATGGTAGTAAAGACAATATTCTAATTAAAAAATATGACAGAGGAATGGCGTGTTGATGCTGTTGTTATTATTATTATTATTATTATTATTATTATTATTATTATTATTATTATTATTATTATTATTATTATTATTATTATTATTATTATATTATTATTATTATTATTATATATTATATATTATTATTATTATTATTATTATTATTATTATTATTATTATTATTATTATTATTATTATTATTATTATTATTATTATTATTATTATTATTATTATTATAGAGTGTACGTGTGTGTGGTAGGTGTTGAGAGAGAGAGTGGAGGAGATAGAGAGTAAGACAAATAAGGGAGAGAAAGCATATACACGACGAGAGAGAAAGTGGGACACAAAGAGAGATGAGAGAGAGTAAGTCAGAGAAAGAGAAAGAAAAAGTAAGACATGTAGAAAGTGAGACAAAGAGAAGAGAATAGAGAGAAAGAGATATGTAAAAGAAGAAAGTGAGATAGAGAAATACACTGTGTATATTTGTGTATGTTACAGCATCTTGTGTGTATTTATATTTTTGTGTATGAATATTTGTAACTTTGTATAGTGTAATGACTGTGTGTGTGTGTGTGTGTGTGTGTGTGTGTGTGTGTCGGTAATTTCACGCCACAGCGCATCATAAACCAACGAAAGACTTCATTATATAAACAGAAAAAATTACGCACAAAAATTACAGAAAAAAGTACAAAAAATACAGATTACAGACGAGTATTTAGCCAGGTGTTAAAAATTACAGGTAATCAATTATTATGAAATGAAAAAGGTGAATTAAAATCGATCCACCTGGCGTCGACTATCTATCGC